CATATTTGTTTCCATACATGGATTTCAAAAATTTAATTGTATTTATTTCTATCTCTATTTGTTAATTACTTTTCATATTGTGCTTTTTTTTTTTTACATCTTCTATTCTGTTGAATAACAATAAATCTAACTTCAAAAATAAATTTTCTTTTTTTTTTATTATATCATCAAAAAGAAAAAGATTTTACATATAAACAAGAAAAGTTGTTTTCTATTTACATTATGTGTAATAAAATGTTTTTTTAACATTAATTCCATATTCTCCAAGAACATGTGTTAAATCATTAAGTGTTAATGTTTGATTTGTTGATGCTATTGGTTTTTTACCACTAGCTGCATTTGTCGATTGATCAGTAGTTGTAGTTGTTGCTTCTGTTGTTGGAGGTTGAGCATTCGCAGCAGCAACAGCCGATGTTGTCACTCCCGGTCGATTAGTAGATTTTTCACGTATTTTATGTAATTGAAAACAATCATTAATAATATCTTACAAAATAAATCAAAAAAAAATTTCTTTTTTTCGATTTTCTTCTGATGTTAAATACCTGTCATAAATTTTTGTACAGAAACAGAAAGTAATTTAACAACTCGATCATCATCTGTTTGTAATCCACATTGTCTCATATAATATTTTGTTACTGTTTCAGGTATAGCAGGTGTATATTGATCTAATGTTGATGTAAATTTATTTAGATCTTCTTCATCAATTAATGTTTCATCACAACTTGATGATGAATCTTCAATATTTTCACTCATTTATCTGTAAAAAAAAGAAATCAAAAACATATTGTTTTTCTAATAAATGTTTTGATTAAGAAGAAAAAAAATGAGTAAGTTTTTTTTTTGTTTTTTATTCTTTGCTCATAATAGTAAAGGTCTACAAAGAAAGTAAAAAATTTTTTTTTTCAAAGTACAAGACATTTGTCAGCAAGAAAGAATAGATGATACCATTGAATACCATGATAAACCAAACTTGAAACCATTGATATTGAATTAAATAAATTAAATTTATTGTTTACAATACGATATTTTGAATCATTACGAATTAATCTTTCAACATCATCACTTGTCTATAAAATAAATACAAAAAATTATTTATTAAATAATCTAAATAAAAATAAAAATACTAATACTTTAGCTGCTTGTAAAAATTCAATATTATTTCGATCAAACATTAAATTTGTAACCCATGAATTAAGAATAAGACTATTAACTTCAGCTGTAGCTAATGCAACAAATAATGCAGTACCCTATTCGAATAATATTATTATTAATATGAAGTTTTTTTTTGTTTTTTGTTCTTTATTATACAAACCAAATTTGTTGCTTCTTTTGACCATGTTTTCAATGGATGACGAAGTAAAAATGTTCCTAAACTTAAACTAGCTAAAACAGCTGTTGACGAAAAATAAACATCTGATAAATTTGATTGTACTGTTGCAAAGTCTTGACGTGTTAACATACGTTGAACAGCACGACCTAACACAAGATTTTTCAATTCTTAAGAAATCAAATAAATTATTCTTACCATGAACAGTTGTCATCCAAAAACTAATACCAAAACCACCAGCAACACCAATTAGATGTAAAAATGAAAGATTAGGTGATGATGGTACAGGTTTATTTTGTGATAAGGCATATCCAACATAACCTAAAGCACCGAGTGATGCAAGAAATGATGGAGCCAAATACCTGAATAAAATAAAATGATATTAAACGAAAAAAGAAAATTATTTTGATAATAACCAAGCTTGTGGCCATGTCTTTTTATAAACATCATGAATAGTATCTTCAATCTTGCTCATCTGTGCACCCATTGTATGGTTAGTTATTCTTGTAAATAACAACGATATCTACAATATACAAAACAGAATGAAAAGAAAAAAAGAACGCCATTTATTTTTAGTTTTGAATAATAATGTCTCGATTATGGTGAGTTTAGCGCCACCTTGTATATATAAAATAACAAAAAAAAAACTTAGGTCTAGAAATATAAAATGTTTTATTTATACTAGGAATAATAAATATACAATAAACTCCTATATATTTCCATAGTTTACACTCACATCCATCCATTGATATAAAGATTGTTGAAAACAATATATGATTGGTTAACAAGAAAACCAATGAGAAAAAATTTGTAATATCAATATTGATTGTCTACATGATCAATATCGATAAATCGTAAGATATTATTTAAATAGAAGAGGAAAAATTGATTTTATCTAATGATCAGGGGTATAGTGAGGTCGCCAGGATTGTCGAGGGTTGGGGGCCAATGACTCATGATTTTGTTAAAGTTTCCCCATTTTTTGAGAGGGAAAAGGTCAAACACTGTTTTTAGGAATCGATGCGATAAAACACTGGAAATTCGCTCGAAATATCTTTGCTTAAAATACACTAAAATGGTGAAGGGTACATTATGATTATCATTTGAATGTAGATAAAACGATATGTCTAATATAAAAATAACATTGGGACATGTATACAGTGTATTGATAAGGTTTTAGATTGTAAAAAGCTATATATCACAATTGAAAATAGACTTTTTTGATATTGAATAAATGAATGATGCATCGAATATCTTCGCGAGAAGATAGAATTTAATAAAAATAATTAATTAAATATTTTTCATAGAAAAATAGAACATTTATTTTTAACACTTAGTAAAATATTGAAATACGTATTGGGGAAGTAATTTGTTGATAAACTGTTAAGAACATTAAAAAAATATTTCATAAGTAATACAATACTTCATAAATTGCAGAACTTGTATGTTAATCGTTTTTATTTTTGCACTTGTATGATTTTAAATTATTGTTTGTTTAGATTATTGACCTTCTTGAAGGTATCCATATGGGACACTTAAGTCGATTTTTTTTTGAGTAAATATCATCAAGTGATTAAACATATTCGATCTTTGATTGAGTGGTTTCATATTAATTATTGCTGAAAATCGTGCATGACACTGGTTATTGTATCGAATATCAAAGTCTTTTGGTTGCATATATAAATTCAATTAAAAATGGATTATTGATTACAACATCCCGTATCAGATAATCGATATTTTTTTTTTCTATTCGTATTCAGATTTATTAACATATGAATAATATGTACAAAATCGAAATTATCATAAACCAATACAAGGAGGATTAAAACATATTAATATAATGTTACGTACTAATGACAAAGCTGCTCTTCTACTTCGATTTTGTAATAGAATATTTTTGTGACGATGAGTTATGCATGTAAAAATATAAAGTGATTTACATTTGGGAATGCAATAATAAGAATTAATATTGGTTCGTTTTCATCATTTCAATATAACAAGGAATATACAGTTCAATATGATATCGTTATTATGAAAATAGAAAACTATATTATTTTATTACAAAAATAATTCTCGTATGTCAATTTATATATTTATAGTAGTTTAAAATTTAAAAACAAATCGATTATTTTTTTGAAATAGAAAATCTGTTTTGAATCAGTCTATTTCATTTATTTGAATAAAAGCAGTTATAAAATTGATCTATACATGTCATTTTGAATTTAAGCTCCCTCTCCCCTTAGAAAACATAATTTTTCGAAAAAAAATTGAAATTGAGTTTTTTACATAGGAAGATGCGCCGAAGCTTCCTCTTTCCGAATAGAGGTAGCTTTTTGAAAAACGACCAGATTTTCACCGACTTATCGATAAAAAACTCGACTTACTCCTACTATCATGGTTTACGAAAAATTTTCTTAATTTTTCAAAATTTTTTCAGCTTCGAAAAAACTGCGTTACCACTTGGAACAGCATTGGAATAGAATACTTTTGTAGTGACCATTAAGCACGATTTTTCGCGATGTTGACCTGTTTTGAGCCAGCACGAGCTTTCGTTTCTTTTTTAAAACTGAAGGACCTGGCATTCCAGACAATATAACGCGTAGAATAATTGAAAAATCTAGAATAACAAGAAGTGATAATGCCTTGTTGTTGAGAGAACATGAGTTACGCTAATTATAATTCGGTTGTAGCGTCCTACTCATCTTTATCTAGAAAGTTTCACGATTTTTAATTTATCCCAAGAATGATGTGAATCATCGTATCGAGAAAACTGATATAAGTGCATTATCCGAAAAGCAGAAGAGCAATACGTTTCAACATGATAGATGGCGTTAGTTTACTGCATCTGCTACGCGCTATAAAAAAGCTGTATAAATTATATTGGAAACATGCCATTTTCATGTGTTTTCTTCGAATTTGAATGAAAAAAAAACAATTTCTGAAACTTCTTTAGCGTTTTTCTCAAAACATGGTTTCCAATCAGAAAAATTGAAACTTCTTCCTCCTATCTTGAGCTATAACCAATATTTATTTTTTGTTTTAAAGATCTTAATAAGAGTAAACTTTTCATCAACCAGGTTTTTTAAAGTCGATTCTTGGACTGAGAAAAGTGGAATTTACCGTCGTCGGATCACCGTTTTTTATGCTTCTTTTAAGACATGTCTACTAAAATACTCATAAAAAATGAACAATAGAGAATTTAAAAATTCTGGTTCATGAAAAGCTGCATACTGACATTGGCTTTAATTTGAAACTACTCCGAATTCTATATCTCGTCTCGCGACGAAATTATACTGATTCTGCTGAAGGTCGAAAGTGATCTATGAATCAGCTGGAAGTCCGATCTAGTATAAACTATAGGACTAAAATTTTTACCGGAAGTGTTTCTCACCAGGATAAGTTATTCCTGAAAATTTCAGCCCAAAAGGATCATTCTAAGTGAGAAATCATTTCTGAGGGTCCCTTAAACTAATTCATAGTGACCATTCAAAATACTATGTAACTATGATGAGAAAAGCAAAGAAAAAAAGATTTTTTTTTCTTGATTTTAACACTCTTCGTCATATCCCCGTCTAAAATTAGTTGTAACTATTCTCAATTGATTTTATATATAATTTCAAATTTATATAAAAAGCATTGATCAACCCAGGTCGAAAAAGCACGATCGTAAACGATCAACGTATACGTTGCAAATAAACGACCGTCGTGCACGATTGTAGTACACGACCGTATATGGTCGTAACTTAGTCGTAAGTTCCCATGTCGAGAAATCAGATAGTAAGATCGGTCATGAATTTTTGTATTATTCTATCAGATCTTGCTGAAATATAGTATATGATCATATGAGATCATACGAAAAATCATGCGAAAAATTACTGTCTCAGAAATCTGATGTCAAATTTTACATAAAGTTTCTTATATGCTCCGGCAATAAAATTTTGTATGATTTTCTGAAATCGTCAAGTAAGATTATAACTGATTTCTGTAACAATATGCTTTATTCGTTACACCCTCCCTTCATCTAACTATTCTAATTCAAGCTAACTTCACATAAGCAAGAACAATCTAATTAATAAACGTAATACAGACGTACCTACAAAGGGAATTATCATTGAATAATAAAATCCACAACCAATTAGTCACAAAAAGTCTGGCATAAAGAAATTTCCTCTGTATACTATTAATAAAGAAAACTAAGAAATAAAATTAAGATTTTCTATATAATTACTACTAAAAAATAAAAAAAATAAGGAGGAGATTTTCTATACTGAGAGTATAAAAATAGAAAAAAAGATATGAAAATTTATATTTTCTGTATTATTACAATAAAAAAATAAGAAACGAAACTAAGGGTAATCTATATTATTAATATAGAAAGAGAAATTACAAATGGGATTTTCTATATTACTAATATAGAAGAATTAAAAATTAAAATTAAGATTTTCTATAAAATTAATATTCAAAAATAAGAAAAACAGTTTAGGATTTTCTATATTATTAATATAGAAAAATACAAAATCAAAATTGATATTTTCTATATTACCAGCATCAAAAATGAAAAATTAAACTTAAGATTTTCTATAATATTAATATAGAAAGGTAAGGAATAAAATCAACCATTTTCTATACTATTGCTATAGAAAAATAAAAAGTAAATACATGATTTTCTATATTGAGGGTATAGGAAAAAAAAGAAATGAAAATTTATATTTCCTATATTATTACTATAGAAAAATAGGCTACAAAACTAACTGTTATATGTATTAATAATATAGGAAAATAAGAATTATAATGAGATTTTGTATATTACCAATATAGAAGAGCAGAAAATTAAAATTAATATTCTCTGTATTATTAACATAGAAAAGAAAGGAATAAAGCTAACCACTTTCTATATTATTGTTATAGAAAAATAAAAAGTAAAAGTACTGTATTCTATATTGGTTTTTTTCTATATCAGTAATATAGAAAATCAGATTTTTAATTTATTTTTTTGTATATTGATGATATAGCTAGCAGTTTGCTTTATTTCTAATTTTTCTATATGGGTTATACAGAAAACATTATTTTTCATTTTTCTGTATTGACGATATAAATAAATTTTAGCTTTTATTTTTTAGGTTAAATAAATTTATCTTTTATTTTTTAGATTAAATAAAGTTTATTTGTTATTTTTAGATTAAATAAATTTTATTTTTTATTTTTAGATGACATGAATTTTAGTTTTTATTTTTTAGATGAAATAAATTTATTTATATTTTAGATTAAATAAATTTATTTTTCAATTTTTTAGATTATTGAAAAGAATAAATAACATAGTAAAGTATAAATGTAATTGAATGGAGGTGTCCAGTGAGACTTGACACCCCAGCGAATTAGTTTTTTCATCTTTGGGAAGTAGGGGGGGGGGGGCGGGGTGCTAGGTAGCAAAATTTTGAATGAAATACGATGACAATCCACATGGTATACGACTGTGTACGATCGTTTACGGTGATCGTATATACGTCGTATACGACACGACGATATACGGTCGTAACTCTGGCGTCAAGTAATACGGCGAAATACGGTCGTATACGATCGTTTACGACTGGCGTAATGCTCGTCCTGGGAAGTTCTGTAGAATATTTAGAAAGTAAAACAAAAGTTGTATAAATTGTTTATGAGTAATAATTGTGCACAGATATTACTTTTTGTTAACCTAGCTGATGGTAAACTTCTAAACATATTTAATGATTAGTTTTATTTTTAATAATAAAGTTCATAATAAGATAGGGACCGAAAGTTTCTAGACAAAATATTTAACTATTTTTGTGCATATTTAAATGCATGAGATGTGCTTAGAATTTTTCTCTGACTTTCGAACTTTAAGTAAGTCTATATCAAATAAGTTCTGTAAAAAATAAAGCACTTAAGGGTAATTTCTACTATATAAAATGACACAAGAATGTGCAAAATTTTGATTCCGTTTTCGTTTGGTCCACTTTTAAGCTGAATTATTCTCATTTTAATATCCAATAATTTGTTAACCTCACCATAGAATATCTTTTCTTTTTTTGTTTCTTTAATCGACATAACACCTTGCTTTCATACAACTTTATCCAGGCATCACCACTTTATCAGTAACATTTATTACACGTCACTATGTACGACTGTGTGTATTTATTCTTTTTCTCGCTTCGTGCTTATAAATTCAAGCCTTTCTCTTATCTCACTAGTAAATATATATACATAGATACGCTCTTTAACATGTCTTGATACAAAGAAAAAAGAAAATTTATATATATTTTTTTTTAATTTTATTTAAGTGTATCAATGACTGCCTGGTATTTATCTAAAGACAAACAAATTGAATTAGCTCAAATAGCTCAAAGTCTAGCTACATCGGGTAAAGGAATTTTAGCTGCAGATGAACCAGCAGGTTTGTTATAGAAATTTCTTTTTTTGTGTCATTATTCAAAAGAATAAATAAATTGATTTAGATGTCATTGAAACACGTTTTTCACCAGTAAATATTGAAAATAATGAAGAAAATCGTCGATATTATCGTCAATTATTATTTCGTACAAATGAATGTTCACAATATATAAGTGGTATTATATTATGTCATGAAACATTCCATCATAAAACGGATGATGATGATACACCATTTCCTCGTTTATTAAAAGAAAATGGTATTATAATAGGTATTACAGTTGATAAAGGTATGGTTATATTAGGTGGAACAGATGATGAAACAACAACACAAGGTTTGTACTTCAAAGAAAATTAAGATTAAAAAGTAATAAAAAAATTTATGTTTTCGTAAATATAGGTTTAGATGGTTTGGAAGAACGATGTAGAGAATATAAAAAACTTGGTGCACAATTTGCTAAATGGCGAGCAGTAATTAAAATTAGTCGTAATACTCCATCACAATTAGCTATTAATGAAAATGCATCAACACTTGCTCGATATGCTTCAATTTGTCAACAGGTATAAAAATTGTTTCACTTTTCTCGTCACAATAAGTTTGATAGATTTGGAATTTTTTTTTCAACAGATTGAACAGGATAAGACGGTAGTGTCCTGCGGGAACGTTTTTTCTCGTCCCGTTTTCCGCGGGAATCGGGAACGGGAATGATATTAGAAATTGCCATTCCCGAAAATCTTTTTGTCTTATTTTTATATGCATTAAAAAGTCTTTAGGTAACATTCTCCTATTTCTAATAACTATTTATACATATATTATTAACAGAGAAATAATGAATATCTATCAACAAGAATTAGACAAGTTCATTTGATGTTCATTAAATCATAATTCACTTATCACAATCATCATTTGCTTTGTCATCGTTACCTTCGAAGGTACTATTATCAAGATTATCTTCCAAGATAACCATATCATCATCTTCTTCTTTTGAATGTTTTCGTTTCTTCATTGGTGTTATTGAAGTATTGTTATTTTTCTTTTTGTTAATTGTTCAATTGATGGTGGAAATAATTCTTTTAATGTTGATATATTTCGGTGTATAAATAACAATTGATCAACTTTACTTGTTTGTAAACGTGTACGATGACTCGTTATTGTATTTCCACTATCGAAAAATAGACGTTCTACACGGATATTAGTTGCTAGAATAGCTAATAAACGTTGAGCTATTTTAGTCAATATAGGATATAATGATTTATTATTATTCCAATATATTAAAATATTCATATCTTTATCAAATTTTTTTTTAATCCTCGATGTATCTGTCAAATTCAGTTTTTATTTCTTTATCATCTAGTAAATCATCTGATGATGTTGGTAAATCAAATATATCATCTAATGAATTTAATAATTGTTTTTTTTTCTGTTGATTTTCTTTTCTCTTACTATTATTATTTGACAATAACTGTTGTTGTTCAAATTGTTGATATTTATCAAATTCTGATTTTAATAATACTTCTGCATAATATTTTTTATGTGGTGCATGATTAAAACTTTTAAGATTTGGATGCAACATAGTTACTATGTAAAGAACATCATCAACAATTCAATAATCTTGCAATTGTTTTCCAATATATCTTTTTAAAGATACTATTAATTGATTATTATTATCAGTAACATTTGATAAATTAGTCAAAAACTGTTTGTAAGGAATAACAAGATGTAATGTAGGTGTCTTTTCACAACTTAATTTTTCGATAACATCATAGAAATATTTTAATTATAAGCATATTGATACCAAATCATCATATTCTATTTTTAAATAATTTGATTTTTGTTCATCATTTAAAATTGTTGGTAATTTGAAATAAACTTTTAGAAAAGAATCGAACATTAAATAAATACTATTAAAACGTGTGTCACAATAATTTTGTAAACATGTTGATAAAAGAGATTGCTTACGACATTGACGTACTTTAGTAACAATAGCTCGAGCTAATTTAAACAATAATTGAGCAGCATCACATTGTATATCATCATATGTAAATGCATGTTGAAGTACTTTATTTATGTAATGTGCACTACATCCGATACGTTTCACATCATCTTTAAAATCACACTTCATTTTATTCTCGTTATCAGTAACGATAAAAATATCACCATTTAAATAAAGACCAAATTCTTCTAAAATCTTATTCACAAATGAACGTATATTAATTGCATGTTGTGTTTCATAATCATATGCTTGACATGCTAATGTAAATACACGAAGATGCGATTGTGTATCAATATAATGTAAACTCAAACCACCATAATGTATACCTTCAAGATAAAAGAGAATAAATAGGACATGTTACTTTTCTGCTGAAGAGCACAGCAAGTTTACCTGTTGTCTTTTCAGACCAAAAATCACATATAATACAGAAATATTTTAATGATTCACATAAAGAAATAAGTTGATTTTTTAAGTTTAAATAAACCCGTTCCACATTACGACTAACCTATTGAAGAATAAAATGATAATAATTGATTTTGTATATACATTTTTAATTGAAATAAAAATTCCATACTTATTGTACTCGGATGAGATAATAATTCACTAACACTGACAGACGTACCAAGAGTAGCACCAGCATTTATTAATTGTTTAGCTAAATTCATAAATCCAGTTCCAGCTACAATTCCAAACGAGCGCCCATCAACAGTACAATATTCCACACATGCTTCTATAATACGTTTTTGAAATAAAGAACATTCTTTTGATGACGAAGGTTGTTGACAATAAGATGATATAGTTCGTTGTCGAGATGGAGTCGTTGTAATAGGTTTGTTTTTTAAGCAATTATGATGACTCATCACTCTTGTTCCATTTTCACTTATCCATTTCAATATGATTCTATATTGTAAGCATATAATATAATCTTGAACAATATTTTGATGATAAACCTGAAAGTAATTTGTTCAAAGTTCACTTCTTACACCTGTTGGCTTTTTAAATGAAATAGATGGATCATTTGATGTTACTAAAACTTGAATTTTAGCTTTTGATAAAGTCGATTTCGTAGAATTTGTTGAAGACATTTCACGAAATTTAATATATAAACGATTTACTAGCAGAGAAAAATTTTCAATATTTGAAAATCAAATCCAAATCTGAGTTGTGTGATTGGTTAAGTGTACGTCCAATCCTAGTTTAACTTTTAATTTATACTTCTTACACTGTGCAAAAACGTGATGTCGCGAAAAGCTAGTGTTTAATAGTGATACTCTTCATCGACGCGAATATTGAAATACGAAAAAAAATTACAAAACATTACGGGAACGGGACTACAGTAACGGGAACTGAAAAAAGTTGTTTCCGCAGGACTCTACAGGACGGTGCAGCCTTCCTGGTGTCCTACCCTGCCACATGGCAGGACAGGATACATCAGTTTCTCCTGTATTTCTATAAAAAATTTATGGATGAATATTTTAATAATACATTACAATCGGTTAAACTCCATATATTTACTCTCAGTTATAGATGTCACTCCAAAAGTGACAAACAATGCTTATTTCACACTGAGTGTGGGTGGACAGAAGACTGACAACGACATCCACACCGCACCATCAGGGTGTAGAATCTACCCGTAGGCTGCAGTGACGCTGCCTGAAACAAAAGACTCTTTCCGGAAAATTCTGGCAAAATGAAAGAGAGGATGACAGGTTGAACTAGAGCAGGAAACGAAGTAAGCCATTTAATGAAAAAATTTCCTTAGTTGTGACAGAAAATACAACTTTTCCAAAGAACAAATCCAAATTTTCTCAAGGGGAAAAACAAGATCCAGATTTTCTTCGGAACTCAATCTAATACTTGTATATAAGAAATCAACGTTCCTGAAGCTGTTCTTATATATATTTTGAATAATCTCTGTATAAGAGATTATTTTCTTTGCAATCATGTCCGAAATCAATATTCTATCTTAAAGGAGAAGAAAGATACGTACAGCAATCTTCTGCTTAAAAAAGGTTGCAATTATGATCGAAGCAAGAATCATTCGATATATACTTCTTTCTTGCTTGGTCTAGTAAAAACTAAAAAATCGAAGAAAGTGCAAATCTGTTTCTGATCTAAGATACTCTCTCAAAACAATTATGTTCTCACTCACTTTTTACAACCGGAAAAAATTTTTTAGATTTTTATACGTGCTGTGATGAAGCTCCGGCAAATTCTGAACCTCTGACACCTGCAACCACGCCCATAAGATGATTGGGATGTTTAATACATGCTTCACTTAAGACAGGACAGGATGGAAAAAGTTGTCGTGTTCCCATCTCTGGTGTTAGAGGTCCTTAACTGATGCTCTTAGCATGTTTAGAATGAGAAATAAGGAGAATTTTCTGTACATAGAATAATTGTAGCGCTAGGTTTTCTGCAAGGAATTTTGAGAGTTGGATTTAATAAAAGTACTAACTAACAACGACGAGCCCTTATTCATATGGCATTTGATAAAGGATACTTTGAAGCTATATAATCAATGAAAAATCAGAATCCAAAGGAGTTTTGCGTAGAAAGCAGCTCTTGATAAAATGCCTATAGTTCCACTTAGGTACAAGCTACAGCTTAGTTCAATATAACACTTTGTAAAGAAGTATGTGCTGGATAAAACAATTGATTCCAATAATTTTTAGCACACTCGAAAGGGAACTTATAACAGTTAGTAAAAGTCCATCAGTTCACCATTCAATCTAATTTATTGAGCTTTTAAAAAAATATTCTTTTACTAGCCTTGAAAACATTTTTAAGGATATTAAAACTTTCAATACAGTCATTATTCAAAAACAAAAAGAAAATTCTAACTTAATTGAATGATTCTATTTGTTTATAGTGTGGTCTTGTACCTATTGTGGAACCCGAAGTATCACAAGATGGTGATCATGATCTTGAAGAATGTCAACGTATAACTGAAAAAGTTTTAGCAACAGTTTATAAAGCATTAAATGATCATCATGTGTATCTTGAAGGAACACTTCTTAAACCTAGTATGGTTACTGCAGGTAAAAAATAAAACAAAATTTTTAAATTCTAAAAATTCAAAAAAGAATAATGCACTTTCTAACACAGCGAAAGAATTTAATAAAGAAAGAGATACAGAGATTTACTGGTAACTTTCAAAATTGTGGTTCTTTTTCATTTAAAATCACAACCATATTTATGTTGAATAACGATAGTAATTTCTGAGAAATTACCAATAATTTGAAGGATACGTTTTTTGTTTTTCGCAGGAGGATATATATATATATAGTAATTTCTAGACGATGTTTTCTATTGCTTTAACAGACACTGTGCTAACTTCCAAACTTTCTTACTGATGTGAAAGCAATTTCTGAAATTCGATTTTTCATGAGAGAAATTTACTTTTATGGAAATCTGAATACTTTCGCTTAGGATAGGAACTAAAATAATATCTAAAACTATTTCCATTAATATCAAGTTTCAACTATGAACTTTTCCAGTGTATGTAAATGAAAAATTTGTATTCGTTTTAAAATGATTAGATATAGTTGGTAAAGTCGTGGAATCGTATTCCAAGTCTTCATGCTTCATATGTTAAGTAATGAACAAAAATAAGCTGTTCATTCATTAATAAGTTTAAAAAAAAAGAACATCGGAGAGATAATCTCATTACAAGTATCATAAAAAGAGGTACGCATGATAGTCAAAAAAAAAATATCCGGAATCAAAAACTTTGACCCAACAAGGTTCTAATGCTTGTTATCTCAACACAGAGTATGAAATTTTTTGTAGATACATTTGTAATTTATTTCTGAAAACATGATAAACAGGAGAAGATTTTTTGTGTATGTAAAAAAAATCAGATTGATTATTAGTTCATGAAAATGTATTTACAAAACAAATGTTTATGTTTATGATCTTGTACAAAAAAAATTGGTTGCAATATAGAACATGATTAGAAGAATTTCAGTTGGAGAAATGAATATTTCCGAGGAAAGAAAAGACTGAAGACACATTCAGCTAAGATATTTTAAAGAAATATATTTTCTCTCTAAAATAAGACTAGTACGAAAGCTATTTGATTGTGAGTGCCTAAGTTAGAGCGTGATTACAACGCGACAAGAACTGGTTCCGGTCATGCATCATTCGGAGGCGGCGATTACAAAATTTTCTTTGTTCAATGAAATTTTGAGATGAGAAATTGAGAAAATAATGCGAGAGAGTGCAATGACAAGAACATTCCTGAAAACTGGTTCCGGATGTTGAAAATTTTCAAAAGCTTAGTCTTTATTCTTATATTATGGCGACGACAACTTATCCAGTCGGCTTCCTGTTCGATTCTTAAAGATCAAAAAGAATTCTTTCAAAGCTGGGATCTATCATAGTTATGTAGATATGATGACTAATGTCCGTGAGAGTATTAGACAAAGATGGGTGAAATCTTAATAATTCGACAACAGCAATAGCTAGCAATCGAAAAAGAAGAAGCTGGACGTCATTTTGTCGAATACTATATAAAGACCAAATCGTTTAAACTCATTACCTTCGAAATTTTTTTTTAAATGCATGAAAACGGCGCTTCGTCTCAAAGAAACTTTGATAAAAACTCAGAAAACTTGCCAAAAATCAATAGATACGCAATTTTCTTTGCTCAACGTTGACATATGAGAAGATAATCCCCTAAATCATGCTTTAAGCTGTCGATCTGAACTTCTTCTATTTGAAGCACATGTCTAAATCAAAATTATATCGAAACAGAACATCATTATCACCATGCAATATTTTTGAATATTTTGTGAAGATGATGAGTTTTAAAATAATTTTGTCTTATACAATATTAAATAAAAAAAAGACGTCCGGAATACTCTTCCTTCGACTATCGAAAACCGCAGATGGCCAACTGTTGCCAAAGTTTCTATATTAAGCTTAATTCAATCTTATAAATTTTTTAGGTAAAAATTCAACAAAAAAATATTCAGTTGAACAAGTTGCAAGAGCAACTGTTGTTACACTTCGTCGAACTGTACCAACTGCTGTACCAGGAATAATGTTTCTTTCTGGTAATGCGATAATTAATATAAAGAACTATACAATATTCTTAATTTAGGTGGACATAGTGAAGAAAATTCTACAATTTATTTAAATGCTATTAATCGTGTTGAGCTTTATAAACCATGGGCATTATCATTTAGTTATGGACGTGCACTTCAATCATCGGTTTTACGTGCTTGGAAAGGTGATAAGGCTAATGATGAACAAGCACGAAAAGAATATATTCGTTTAGCTAAAGTAAGAAAAAATAAATAAATAAAATTTTGTTTTGATTATTTTTTTCTTTTTTAGCAAAATAGTCGTGCTTCGTTGGGAAAATATGAAGTAGCCGCTTGAAAAAAAATATTTATTTTAGTGTTATTCTTTTTATTAAATATTTTAAATATTAAATATGCCTAATAAAAACAAAAGAATATGATCGATTTAATTGATTTTAATGATTTTTGTAGAATATGTTTCGTCATAATTCTTCATCATCAATGAAATATGTCTTAGTTACTGGTGGTGTTATTAGTGGAATTGGAAAAGGTATTATTGCATCAAGTATTGGTACAATACTTCGTTCTCATGGATTTCGTGTAACATCAATTAAAGTATATTCAAAAGAATATATTTACAAATATATAAAATTATTTATTTTTTATCTAGATTGATCCATATATAAATATTGATGCAGGCACTTTTTCACCATATGAACATGGAGAAGTTTTTGTACTTGATGATGGAGGGTAATTCAATTCTTAATTAAGATTTTTATTTTTTCAATTCATCTTTCTGAGAAGATTACATAGCATCTTTAAAATAAAATCCAAAGCAATTTTCGTTTAGTCCAAAAAACACATGCATTTAACGGAAAATAGAATAAAAGTAGGGATGTATCGAAATTGAATCTTTCGATTTTGACATTCATGCGTTTTGACTCAAATTTTCAAGAACACCAAATTTTTTTTGAATAATTCAATCACATATGGCACTGGAATAGAACCTGTCAGGTTCAAAATAATTCGGATCTGGGACTAGCCCGACGAGCTCTATAACTAACTTCTAGTCATTTGACTGTCTATTGATACTTTGAATTGAATCGAATTATAGAAAATCGGTTATTATGTGTAAACTATATATTACATAGAATTAAGATGTTTTGGAATGTGAAATAAATCATATTTTGTTGTCGAATATCTATCAAAAAGAATGGTAAGATAATTTTTGCTCAATGTGCGCTAAGTTTTAAAAGTTTTCGATTTGCTTTTATATGCACTAGAAAATGTTGTTTTTTTTTTAAACTTATTCATTATCTTGAAAATGAGTTTGTTAAGAATAAAATAGACAAATTGCTCGATTGAAACAAAAATCCTATTGGATATGTTTTAGAACACAAAAAAAGGTTTCTTTTTTTTTCATTTCTAGTGAAGTTGACTTAGATTTGGGTAATTATGAAAGGTTTCTTGATGTAACATTACATCGTGATAATAATATAACAACGGGTAAAATTTATCAATATGTTATTGATAAAGAACGTCGTGGTGATTACCTTGGTAAAACTGTGCAAGGTTAATTAGACAAACTATATCGATTCTTAACATAAATATTGATTATTTCTATAGTTGTACCACACATAACAGATGCAATACAAGAATGGGTTGAACGTGTTGCACATATATCTGTTGATGAAGATAAAGCTGAACCAGACATATGTATTATTGAAGTAAGATTGACAAGAAAAAAAACTTTTCTTTTTCGGCAGAGTAGGAGAAAGAAAATATCATATGAACTTGTATTTTTTTTTTGTTTTAGCTTGGTGGTACAATTGGAGATATTGAAAGTATGTCATTTGTTGAAGCATTTCGACAATTTCAATTTCGTGTAAAGAAAGAAAATTTTTGTTTGGTTCATGTCAGTCTTGTTCCACAAGTTTGTATTCAATAGATAATTATATTCTTTCTATAAGTTTTTTGTTTCTATAGCCAAATTCAACTAATGAACATAAAACTAAACCAACACAACATAGTGTAAAAGAACTTCGTGGTTATGGTTTAACTCCTGATCTTGTTAGTAGATAGTTCTTTTATTTCAAAAATAGTATTGATATCTTTCTTTTTTTTTCTTGTCTTCTAGATTATCTGTCGATCTGCTACACCAATGCCATTATCAGCAAAAGAAAAAGTTTCAATGTTTTGTCAAGTTGATAAAGACCATGTAAATAAATTTATATATATTTTTCTTCTTCTCTCTATTTCTATTTTTATTCTATTCAAGGTTATTTGTATCCCTGATGTAAAAACTCTATTTCGTGTTCCATTGCTAATGGACGAAAATGGTGTATTTCATTTTCTCTCTTCACGTCTTCATTTAATACCAAAATCAAATTATGATCAATCACTTATGATAAAATGGCGTGACCTAGCTGAACGGTAAATAATATACAATCAAAGAAAAAATAAAAAATAAAAGAAAACATAAATAGGAGAAATAAAAAGACTAAAATATAAACAATATTAGTACTAATCAACCTGTTGAATTTGTAGAAGTAGTTATATTTGTATTAATAGTTGAATTAATAGTAGAAATTAAATTTCCATTAGTGACAAGACCAGCTGCACCAATACCAAGACCTAATCCTAAAGTCATACCAATAAGTACAGCAGCAGCAAGAGCACTAACGATTATTATTAATGTATTCCCACAAGCAGATTTTCTTTTTGAGATTCGATAAATTGGTGAAGGAATAATTTGATTGACTTCATCATACCCATAAGGAATATTAATATTCGGATTATACATTATGCACTTGAATATGATCTCATATTCGAGAAGTAACAACAAAATACAAATAACCTTCTAACGTGGCTTTTATGGTAATAAGAACGCCATATAACTACATCTTGTTACTTGATGAGGCATGACTACAATATTCACGAACAGAAAAGAAAAATTTACTAAGGAGTCATGATATCAGAGAGTGTAGACGAGACACAGCAATCAATTTAGTTTTTCTTTTCTTTTTTTTTCTGTGCCCAACTCATCGATGTCTCAAATCACCAGTCCATAAATTGCAGCTTATAATATTTTTCCTTTGAAATATTAGTCACTACTGTTTTTTTTCCATGATTCTATATATGTGACAAATAAACAACAAAAAAATACCCTATTAAAAGTTGCGTCTGTTTTCATTTCAACGAAACATTCACATTTTTTTATGAATTATGTTAGAAGATAGAGAATCAAAAATGAAACAAAATCAGCTATTTCCCTATAATAGAATGAAAAATCTCTCTTCTGTAGAGTCAAAACTGTTCATTTGAGAACGATGTATCTTCTGTGATGACTCAGAATCAAAGAGTTTCAAGCTGAATTATATATATTTAAAAGGAATTTTTATTCTCTAAAATATATTTAAGAAATAATCAAAAGTAAATAGTATCTTCATAGCGAAACTGGCTTCATATTTTTCTCCTACCTAGAAGACCATGTATGAATTTTTCACAGAAAAAAATGTTCTGTAAAATGTATGCAATTCCATGTGGTTGTCGATGCTGATTTCGAGTCCTGAAACTGAATAGGGTACCTGACACTCGATTCAGGTGCCGGACATGAAAACAAATGTCGATTCGGATCTTGGGTATGATCTCATACCCAGATCCGACCTGTTGACTAATGAGATCTCGATATTTCAAAATATGTTTACTTTATCAAACGGCTAATTTATATAAAAGCATAGGAATGAAAGCCGGTCCGATCATGATTGACCAATTTATTGTACTTGAACACAGGTCACAGAAGTCGAAAGCAATATTGTTTTACTAAAAGAATTCGTTTTGAATGAAAACTCATCTACAGATGATAATGAAGTAACCAAATATATGAACAGGAAAATGAATTATCAGAAAAGGTAAACATTTATTATTGTGATGAGAAAAGCATTTATGTATGCGTCTATAATTATTACGTTTGCCGCTCATACTGTGTTCCATTTCAGCATCATCAGCAACAAGCAAATGATGACTTAGCTAAATTGATTGAATTCGAGAAGCAGAAAGGCACTAAATGATTTATTCACTTTTTTGTAGAATTTCAGATGATATGTGTTGTTGTTGTCTATGGAAGAAACTAAATAGCATATTTTTTCATATAAAATAAAAGTTTGAAAACAGTATTATGATTGTGAAAGTATGTGTTGGATATCAATTAGTGTCGGTCCGAGTCCTGTTTCAAAAAATCATGCCCCTGTATTCTATATAAAAATCATCAAAATCTATTAACTAGGAGAGAGATGCGAGTATGATTTTCGCTATGAAGATACCATTTATCTTTGAATATTTTTTGCTGACATTTATTAGAGAATAAAAAATTATCTTAGATATATATAATTTAGCTTGAAATTCTCTAATTCTAAGTTGTGATAAAAGACATATTGTTTTTCAGGTGGACAGTTTGAACTCTTCGAAAGAAGCAGTTTCCATTCATGTTCGTCTTACAAAACATGAGTGGACAGACATTATATTATATTAAAATAGTTCATTTTGTTTAGTTTTTATTGTCTACCGTTTAATATAATTTATAAAAAGACTTAAATGCTTCGTTGAAACAAAAACAAACACAACTTCTAACAGGGCATTATTTGTATTCTATTTCTTATAAGGAGAGGATGGTGTTAAAAAGACAGTATTGACTATCCTTTTATAGAAAGAATATTAGAAGATAAAATTTGTGGGTTGTTAGTTCGAGACATTGATGGTTTCATAATTATTTTGTTAAACATCTTATATTTTGTATATAAAACTATTTATCATATAAAAATTTGTTCTTGTTTTTGTTTTTTCATTTCTAGAATGGAACGACAACTTGAAGAAGTTATTATAGCTCTTGTTGGAAAATATACAGCTTTAGAAGATGCATATGCATCTGTACTTAAAGCACTTACTCATGCTGCACTTTTTTGTAATAGAAAATTAAAAGTCCTTGTAAGATATTCATGTTTCTCTTTTTTTTTGTCTTGTAATTTATCATTTTGATATTTTGTAAATTTGATTTAGTTTATTCATGCAACTGATTTAGAAGCAAATACACAAAAAGATGATCCAGTTAAATATCATGAAGCATGGCAACAATTATGTAGTGCACAGTAAATAAACTTTTAATATTTTAAATTGATTTAATTTTTTTTTTTTAATCTAGTGGTGTTCTTGTACCAGGTGGATTTGGTTCACGTGGTATTGAAGGTAAAATAGCAGCTATTGAATGGGCACGTACACAATCAAAACCATTTCTTGGTATTTGTCTTGGTCTTCAATGTGCTGTTATTGAATTTGCAAGACATGTTTTACAATATAAAGATG